AGTATCTAAATTGAAAACACCTTCATCCCTTCCCTCTGAACAAAGTGATTACATTTGTTATGCGCATATTTTTAAATGATTATCCTCAGCACAATGACTATCACAGAATTAACCATAATTTTTTTGTAATGATATTTATTTTATTCGCAGGATGATTTTTTATTGCGGCATTATGACAAAGGACCATGTAGAGATAAATTAGGGCATTCCAGAGCCTCAGTTATATGGCATCGAACTCAGGTGTGTAACGAAGATGAAAATCAATTGTATTTACCAACTTATTTTTGAAGGATTGATATATCTTAAACAGGAAGTTAAAAATCGCTACAAATTCCTTCATAATATTCTGTACCAAACAGAAATGTCATGACCCCCCCTCCCCATATTATCAAACCTTACTTAGACAGCCATCTTGAATTTAAAACAATTCGACAATTCTTTTGCACCGTAATCTGGTTTGTCAGTCCATGATGATAATTTAAATTGTGATAAAGCCATTAGATATTTTCAATATTACACATGTTATCCGTAATTTAAGATTGTAACTTCATCATCTGACAATCTTCTCAGATGGTTAAACATGCCTTGTTTTCCAGCTAGACAATATATTTATGCAATAACTGCTTTAAATATAGTGAGTTTGATTGCCTATATAATAATAGGATAGTTTCTGAAAGGTAGTGAATTGTTTGAGTAAAAACTGAAAAAGAGTTCATTTCAAGAAATATTAAAGAACATAAGTAAAAAGTGCAGAAAATTTGGAAGAGAAAGTCCGGTGGTGAAAATGTTAAGACCACTGATAGAATTACCTCAAAACATAGAGAAAATTATGTCACAATAACTTACAATGATTTATATTTTGATCACAGTGATAAACTGACCATGAAGCTTTATTCAAGGAATGGCACACACACTAATTACAATTGTGATATTCATATTGAGGAAATAGCTGGAAAATCTGTAAACATATGAAATTACAGCTTTTATTCATGAGTCACTCATTAGATATGCTATTTCTCTTATGTTAGTGTAGTTTCTTCTTCCTCATTGTTATGAAAAAACTATTTTGAATTATTGGTTTTTTTTTTAGTTATTGTTCTTACTCCTTCTGTTACATCTGTTGTCATTTTCACCTAGGTGGCCATAGCAACAAGATGTTGTTGTGGGGGAAGGGAAGGTTCGGGTCTTCTCAGTCACAGAAGTGAACACTGAAACGGACACGTCATGTAACTGAAACTCAATCTCGTTTATTCTTCAACAACAACGTAATACAGATGTTAACTCGTAAACAACTGGAAAGCAACTGCTCAAAACGAGCGCAAAAACATACAATGTTGCCAATATCGCGTCAAGTAACAATTTGTAGGGCGGGAGGCGTTCTCATTGCCCGATTACGAATACGGTGTTTACTCTTACGTTCGGAACAAATATTGGCCAAATTAAAACTGGGTGTGCTAGTTTCTCATAGCATTACATGCAAACAAAATGAAATACGAAGAAAACATGGTTATGAATAAAAGATCAATAATTCAAATGAATCTCCCCACAGTTGTATTGTAACTGAACTATGACTGCATAGAATGAATATGTATTAGTAGCTAAGTGTGCATGTTTGTGTTGTTGTAGATTGTCAAAGCATGGTGGTCAAATAAATATACTACATGTATATTGTTATCGGAACTTGGATGTGGTGGTGTTATTTAATTAATTAATGTACAGAGAAAACATAGAAACATTATAGTAACCCTGTAACCAGGGGTTTTTCTAGAAAAAATCTGCAAGAGGGAGCACTGCAATTCAGCGGCACCACCAAGTGGGGAGATAGGGTTCTCCCTACCCAAGGTGTGGAGTTTTTGATAATTCTAAGTTAAAACGAAGCATTTCTTGGCTTCCTTGGGACCAAAATTACTATCAGACACGGTCACAGTTGAAGACTATGGCCACATGTGATCCTTGGTCAATCAGAATTTAATGGTTGCCAGAGGATCTGCTCCCCGGGGTAAGGGGGCGCATGGCCATGGCATGAGGGCGCTGCACCCCGTTCCCTTGTTTAAAAAAAAAAACTGCTGTGTTACTATAGGAAACTAACAAAATCAGAAACAAGTATCACTTTATGGATTGTGGTTGTTCTAAATATTGTTTATTCTCTTCGCAGGTTGTTGGTATATTTGCTGGCTTTGGTGTCTTATTATTAGTGGCGTCACCGTTCTTACTTTTAGCGGCTCCTTGCATACTGTGCTGTAAATGTAAAGTTTGCCGTTGTTGGGAAGACGACGACGATGGTATATCTGGCCTTCCGTCCTGACGACCATATATGGATACGCTGTTGTCATGCTGATGGTATATTGCTCAACTGTTGTCATGACGAAATGTGGCTTGATTATTGTCACAAGAACAATATACATGTATGATGTAGGGTTGCCATGACAATGTATGATTGGGATACTGTCAAAATAACAGTATCTACAGCTGCACTTGTTGTCATGGTGACTGGTCAACCCTTCATAATCATTATATTTTAAATTATTGCCTAAATTAAGCACCATCTATCACAGGAGGTCACTTTCCAGGTATTTTGTTCTCTGGTTTGTTAAATTCTGTGATAAAATTGTTCAAAGGAAAAATGCTTATCCTTGAACTGTGATGTATTTTGTGAAGTTTATTCCCATCTATAGTGAGAAAAGGTTTTCTTTAAGGTGGTTCAAGTCTAATTAAAACTTGGCCCTGCTTAGCATGCTATCGAACATGTATGCAATGCATTGTGGGAAGAACTTCTCATTGTACATTATATATACTGTAGAATACTTTATTTTCGCTTGGAATTTATTTTCGCTATTTTCGCTGAAGGGATGATTCCATGAAAATAAAATCTAGCGAATATACTTTTTTTCCTATATTTCACATTAAACTCATCAAAAATCAGTGAAAATAAATTCCAAGCAAAACGCCCAAAAAGCCTTTTCAGCGAAAATTATTTCCAGCGAAAATAAAGTATTCCACAGTAATAGAACTCTGGAAACTCGCTAAATTATATGTCAATAATAAGCATTAGTATAACTTATGATTTTTCATTTAATCATACTTGCAACAATTTTGAGATATGAAGAAATAATTTCACCATGGAAACCAATGTAAAAGATACAAATTTTGACCTTTTTCCATGACATTCTGGAATCTTGTATTTAAAGAGAATATTGTCTTCCAGTCATTTTTTCAACATCATGATGAAATTAAGAAGATTTTTTTTCAAGCTTGAACCATCTTAATTGCCCTTCTCACTGTCCGATCGTTACCTATACTTAAATTGCCAAAATCAATAAGTTGGAACAATATTACAATTGTGTACTATAAATGGTGTAATGGTCTGAGACTGATTCATTGTACACTAGATTTTATACAAAATATGGGCAGTTTTATACTCATTAAAAATCTAATGCATATAAAACCCTGTAGGCACTGTAGGCAATTTATATTTCGCTATGACCTATGACCTTTTGAATGCTGAAACGATTGACATCTTACACATATCTTTTTTAAAATATTCTGATTAAATATCGACGAATTATACCAAAATTTGGGGAAAAATGTTGGCGTTTAAAAGATTGAGTCTTGTTCTCTATTGTCTGTATATAGGGCACTTTTGTATTGTATATTTTTTAAATGTTTTTCTATGAAAGCTTGTGATAATTCAACATGATGGAACATTGTAGTATATATAAGTATATATATATATCGTGTACAAGGCCTTGTTATCCCTGGTAATATCAAGAAGGGTGATTTATAAAACATCTCAGGGTAATTCAGGTCAGAAACATTTGTCACAAGTTCCAGATGTGCTCAAATTATCATAGACAACCTCGCACATATTTTTCAACTAAAACTACAATGAATTACATTTTATTTTTCATCTACTCTAGTAAGCATATTTGGAAGGAATCTTTATCAAGGGTGTTTAAATTGGTTTTTGTAGTCAGCTCAAATGCCTTCAAGAATACTGCAAGAAGGCTGCAGCTGATGGAACATATCACCATTTTTGTATGTGTTTTTGTGGTTAATGCGTTTGCCCATTGATTGAATATAACAAATTGTTTAATCCTTTCAAACATCATGTAAGTACCAGGATGTGCGACCTTCAAAGGTCAAGCAAGTACCAGGATGTGCGACCTTCAAAGGTCAAGCAAGTACCAGGATGTGCGACCTTCAAAGGTCAAGCAAGTACCAGGATGTGCGACCTTCACAGATCACTGAATTGCAGTCCTGTAAAGGGGGTAATTATTCACTGGGTTTTAATTTAGCGTATTTCGCTGACTGGAATAATGTGCTAAATTAAAACACAGTGAATATGTAAAATTTAGCATAGAACACATTATCTAAATGACGAAACCCTGAATTTAAAACCCACTGAATAAGCCTGAAATGGTAAATCAGTGAAATTTAAACCCAGTGAAAATTAGTCATTTCACAGTATTTTGTGTGCAGTATACGATTTGCTGACGATTAAAGATGGCTTTAAAATGATCTAAAGTGAATAGGCTTAAATCAGACGTTGCTAACCCAGGGTATATGATTACACATGCACATTAGCATGTTTTGTCAAAATGTGCGACTACGGTATGTAGATAATAAATCAGTGGTAACAGTGTATCAATAATTGTTCTCTCAAAGCATCCACAAGTTCAAAATTTTGCCTTATAAGGACATACTCATTAGCATATTGTCATTCCACCAAAGTAGAATACACAGAGTACAAATTAAAAAAAATGTTGATTGTAGTAACTTATCAAACAAATGCCTGTTTGTTAAATTAGTCCAATTATGATGCTATTTATTGCAGTGACAGATTGTTTTTTTTTTATTTAATTTTTTTTTCATTCATATCTTATTTTAATACACTTACACATACAAAATGAAATGTTAAGTTTGTGATCATACTGTACGTATTTGAGTGTATTGTGGCAGACTTTACATGTATATATCGACAAAACATTTATCCGTTTTCTTGCATTGTTGATTTTTATTTACACAAGTGTAATCAAAACAAGATTTCATTCCTGATGGAGTTGTGGTCGCCATGACGGAGTGCATTGAAATTCTGTGTGAATATAAGCAGTACAATTGACCCATGTATGTATATATCGCTATGCATAGTATGGGACCCACACAGAGTATTATAGCATAGAGGTTCTCCACTCTATGATTTTGGATAAAAAGATAAAGCGTAATTATCATGACCATGAATACATTTAAGGTATACATTGTTATGCAAATTAGCCAATACAATACGCTATATTCTTGGGTTAAAAACAGAGACATGAAGTAAAATAGCGACCACCCCTCTTTAACCTAAGGGACCAATGTATATAATTTTGTAAAAAACATGAATATTTAAGTGTGTAGAACAATCTAGAAAAATATCAATTGGATTTTTAAGCACAGGTTTTATTTTCCGATTTAAGTTTATTCTTTGTAAGAAAATTTGTTGCCGTTTGATGTTGTATATTTATGTAACCGTGATGTTTACCTTTGAGTAGAAAGTAAATGTTATGCTATGAACAATGTAGCAAGAGTTATTGTGATTATTGTCAACGTCACCACGGTTACTAAAATATTCCGTCTTTTTTAGTAACTATAACGTCACACACTGGACACACCAAAACAGCAACATTGCTGATAAGCTGGTTCAAATCATCAATTGGAGACTGGTCAAACTTAGAGGGCGCCATGGGGCAACAACCATACCACATTAAGTACAGGTGTCTCGGATCTAGTAGGAGTAGGATTTATTTATAACAAACACAATGCAAAAAAGACATTACACAAAGCACAGCAGAATGCTCAAAAAAAATAAGACAAATTCAAAGGCAAGAAAATAGCCAAGTAAACATAAACACAAGATGGCAGTCAAAAGAGGCTTAGTTTTTTCCTTGAAACAAAACCCTATAAACTCGCATTTTTTTTCATTGGCCTAATAATATCCGAGAAAATTTCACACTGTGAATAGTGCCATCAGTGTTTAACAATTCCACAATGGCTGTCATGAAAAATTTATTTCTGTGACGTCACAATGTTTGAAGTCGTTCAAAATTTAGGGTTAGGGTTTCGTTTTGTGGAAAAGACTAAGCCGTCAAAAGATACATTTCAGAAGGCAGATACAATTGCCCCCTGTCAATTATGATAAAATCCGAGATTCCACTTTTTATTTTGCCACATACCCTAGTAGCTGACTTGTAATTACGCATTTGAGCGCGTCTATAAACTGCATCATTATAGTTATCCGAAAACAATTGTGTATTCCTTCTATCTGGGTCATG